TGGTGCTGGTGCTTCTGGTGATGCTGTTGGAGCTGGAGGTAGTGCTGGAGCTTTTGGAGGTGCTGCTAGTGCTGGTGCTGCTGGAGGTACTGCTGGTGCTGGAGGTGCTGCTGGTGCTGGAGGTGCTGCTGGAGCTTCTGGAGGTGCTGCTGGTGCTGGTGCTACTGGAGGTGCTGCTGGTGCTGCTGGGACTGGAGACCCTAGGGCTGAGGGTGCCGGTTCTGTCTCTGCTGTTTCTGGAGGCGCTGTACTACGTTCCGCTTCTTAAGCAGGTTCTTGGCTCCCCGCCTTCTCCTGGTCCTCCACCTCCTTCCCTGAGTCCACTGCCTGTCCCGTCTCAGTCGCATTTACAGCCGGTCTCTCCGCTGCCTGGTCCTTCTCCTTACTCTGGACCGACTAGAGGTCTTACGGAGCGTCGTGAGCCTGAGTCGCGTCCTGTGTCGCCTGTGTCTCGTTCTACGACGCCTGTCCGTTCTGTTCGCGCTGGTCGTGTTTCGCGTCCGCGTCCTCCTCCTGTCCCTGGCACCCACTCTATGACTCTGCGTCCTTCTACTGCTCCACAGCGTGTCCCTCTGCCCTCTCCTCCTGCGTCCTCTCTTCCTGACGGTCCGGACCCGGAGTCTGACTCCCTTCGTGCTGCTAGTCCTACTGTCACGCGCTTTCTGGCCACTGCTGTCACTGACCCTCTGTTTGAGTCCTCTGCTGCGTCTGCTCTTGTTACTGAGCTTGTTGACTTTGCTGCCTCCTGTCGCCTAGACTACGCCACTAGTCTTGTTGCTGAGTCTGCGTCTGCGTCTGTCTGTCCTCCGTCCGTTGGGGGTGAGTGTGCTCTTGGCACGGACGTTCTTGAGGACAGACAGGAGGAGTTTGAGTGCTTTGCTGCTTCTGTACCTCATCTCGTGTCCATGCTGCTGACCCCTGAGGGAGACCCGGATGCACTAGACATCCCGACCCCGCGCTCTTACGCAGAGGCGATAGAGGGTCCCTACTCCTCTCAGTGGCAGGCAGCCTTGGACGTAGAGATGGCTTCCTGGAAGTCCACAGGCACCTACGTACACGAGGTTCCCCCACCTGGGGCGAACATCGTCAGTGGCATGTGGATCTTCAGGGTGAAGCGGCCGCCGGGTTCTCCACCTGCCTTCAAGGCGCGTTACGTTGCACGTGGCTTCAGTCAGCGACAGGGAGTTGACTTCTTTCAGACCTTCTCCCCTACCCCGAAGATGACCACTCTTCGGGTACTGCTGCAAGTTGCTGCTCAGCGTGACTACGAGCTCCACTCGCTTGACTTCAGCACAGCCTTCCTGCAGGGCAGCCTGCACGAGGAGATCTGGCTGCGCCGCCCACCTGGCTTCACTGGGTCGTTTCCTGCTGGTACCCAGTGGAGCCTCCGGCGGCCAGTCTACGGTCTCCGCCAGGCACCCCGTGAGTGGCACGACACACTCAGGACGACTCTTGCTTCTCTTGGTTTTGCTCCTTCCACCGCTGACCCTTCTCTGTTTCTACGCACTGACACCACTCTGCCGCCGTTCTACGTTCTCGTGTACGTAGACGACCTCGTCTTTGCTACTGCTGACACTGAGGCACTCGCCCACGTGAAGTCCGAGCTGCAGAAGAGACACACGCGCACAGACCTGGGTGAACTGACAAGCTATCTTGGCTTGCGGATCACCCGGGACAGAGCACAGCGCACCATTACCTTGACTCAGTCACACATGGTGCAGCAGGTCCTTCAGCGCTTCGGCTTCACGTACTCCTCGCCACAGTCCACTCCTCTGCCTACCGGTCACTCGCTCCCAGCTCCACCTTCGGACGAGTCCGTAGAGCCGAGTTGCCCGTATCCAGAGCTTGTGGGCTGCCTCATGTACCTGATGACTTGCACACGACCTGACCTCGTATACCCTCTCAGCCTTCTGGCTCACTACGTGGCTCCCGGCAGGCACCGAAAGGTGCACTAGGATGCTGCAAAGAGGGTGTTGCGATACTTGTGCAGTACGTCGGGCATGGGGCTCGTGCTTGGAGGACGGGCTCGAGTTGTCCTCACTGGTCACGCTGACGCCTCCTGGGTTGACGACTTGGCTACGCAGCGGTCGCCACAGGGTTACACCTTCAGTCTTGGCTCCACATCCGTCTCTTGGCGGTCTACCCGCTCTTCTTCTGTTCTCAGCTCCAGTTGTGAGGCTGAGATCTACGCTGGGGCCATGGCTGCACAGGAGCTACGCTGGCTCACGTACCTGCTGACCGACTTGGGAGAGGCGCCTCGTTCCCCTCCAGTTCTGTACGTCGACAACAAGGCCATGCTGGCCTTATGTCAGGATCATAGACTGGAGCACAGAACGAAGCACATTGCTCTGCGCTACTTCCTTGCTCGAGAGTTGCAGCCGCGTGGCCAGCTTCGTCTTGCTTACGTGGCCTCTCAGGCCAACACTGCTGATGTTTTCACCAAGGCACTTCAGCCTTGTGATCATCAGCGTTTCTGTACTGTGTTAGGCCTTGTACCTACTATGCCTCACTTGCTGACTTCTTGACTCTGCTTGTACTGTACTCTATATACTTATACCTGCATGCTTACACTTGCTAGGTTGTGTTCACTGTATTGTTTGCTTTCCTTTATATAACTCTGCATGTGAACTGGCCTTGTGGCCCTTTTGCTTGTGCTCAGACTGCGTGGTGACTTTGTGATCCACCCTGAGCTTGCTTTGCTTCTTGACTGGTCTTGTGACCCCTTGTTCTCCCCCACTTTGCCTATGGGGGTGTGTCAAACTTATATATGCTATAGTCAATTTAGGCTATAGTGGGGTAGTCCTTAGAGTGTACAACACTTTTGTGTTTTCTACTTGTACCCATCTCATTTCCTAGTTCATTCATTGCACTTATTATTCTCACAGACGCTCCCCTAATCAGTTGAGAACTGGACGCTAGGCCTGGCAGATATCTGGGGTAAGTGGCTGTGGTGGTCGGCCAGGATTGGTACCGAACGCAAGGCATGGTGTAAGGTGAGTTGAGTAGCTGTGGTCGTGGGCTAGGGTTGGTACAGAGATCTCAAGTTCAAAATCTCAAAATTCAAACAGTCGAACAGAGCAGATAGAGCATGGCCAAGGCTTGGAAAACATCGAGCAAGGAGATGGACAAGGAACAACACACACGGTTGTTCCAGGGTTCGCGTGAAGCTCTCCTAGCCCTCGATAACGAAACCCTCAGCACATCCAACCGCTGAGGTTGAGTTCATGAACCTCTCGTGTTAAACTCGGATGCCATCAGGAAGTCTATCGTTTTGTCTAAACCTCGATCTAGGCTCAGAATGGTTTAAAAAACATACCATTTTAGTTTTGTATATAAAAAACGATAAACATTCCCTCAAAAGCTCCAGTTGAAAACCATAACATTTTGAGAATGAAAACTAATTGGCGGTGACGAACAGCTTGCACGATAAAGGACTCAGGTTCTGTGAAAAAACATTGCAACTCAAAAAACACATCGTCGAAATGGCATAATCTACAATCCAGGTCTGTACTCGCACGGTTTCAAATAATTCGACGTACAAAACAGCATCACTCGTTCGTCAGTCATGCGAATGGCAACGAAATGATTTGACACTCTTCTAATATCATTTATGACTCAGTGGTGTGAGGAAACCTTGCAAAAATGAACAACGCAGCGTTTGGAACGGCATCATCTGCAGTCCAGGTCTGTCACATCATTCGATGTTCAAAACTGCGTCCCTCGTTCGCCAGTCATGCGAATGGCACCAAAATGATTTGAAACCCTTCTAATATCATTCATGACTCAGTGGTGTGAAAGAATCTTGCAAGATTTAATAATGCAACGTCGAAAGGGCATCATCTGCAGTCCAGGTCTGTCATCGCTCGGTTTCATATCATTCGACGTTCAAAACCGCGTCACTCGTTCGCCAGTCATGCGAATGGCACCAAAATGATTTCACACCCTTTTAATATCATTCATGACTCAGTGGTGTGAGGAAACCTTGCAAAATCCAACAAAGCAGCGTTTGGGACAGCATCATCTGCAGTCCAGGTCTGTACTCGCATGGTTTCACATCATTCGACGTTCGAAATTGCGTCATTCGTTCGCCAGTCATGCGAATGGCACCAAAATGATTTGAAGCCCTTCTAATATCATTCATGACTCAGTGGTGTGAGGAAACCTTGCAAAAACCAACAACGCAGCGTTTGGGACGGCATCATCTGCAGTCCAGGTCTGTACTCGCATGGTTTCACATCATTCGACGTTCAAAACTGCGTCACTCGTTAGCCAGTCATGCGACTGGCACCAAAATGTTTTGAAACCCTTCTAATATCATTCATGACTCAGTGGTGTGAAAGAATCTTGCAAAATTTAACAATGCAACGTCGAAAGGGCATCATGCAGAGTGTTTATCTGCTTTAATTACGAATGCAAATCAACCCAATTGAATACTTTGGTGTCAATATAAGCTGTGTACAAATTTGATGCACATAAGAACAAGATATTTCAATAGCATTCATCACTGTACACTGGAACGGAAATGCTCTTGTGCGGGTCACGTATCTGGATTTGTGCCAAACCTTCGCAAACCCGCTGCTTCTTGGAAGGAGTATTTCGAAAACCTAAACTTACCGATCAGTAGGTTCGAATCGAATGTCCAATAGAAATCGATCAAAGGGTTTGAAGGAAGTTTCGCGGATCTGGTGGAAAGGGCTCGACCAATAAAATCGCTTGCGAGGATCTGGTCGAAACTTCGTAGATGATGCAGCCCACTGAGTCCCGAGCCGCGAACCCCGAAATGCCACCTGCGGGTAAGTTCTGGAGAGTTACTCTCTCGCAAACCCTAAAAAACATGCCACCCCGACCCCACACATTTTGGGATGCACCTCCTCTTCCTCTCCACCTCCTTCTCCCCTCCGCACCCACCTTCTTCCCCTGTTCCCCTCAGGTTAGAAGACATTCTTGCTTATAAAATATAGACAAGTAAGGAGAGCACAGCAGCTATCTGTTTAGAGCCCATGGACCAATCACAGTCGCCACAGCAGCATGTACGGACAGCCTCCGCCGCCCACCAGATGGCCGCCCAGCAGTCGCTACCTCCACAGTCCGCCGCCCAGCAGCCGCTGCCGCCTCAGTCTGCCGCCCAGCAACCTCTGCCGCCCCAGTCGGCCGCCCAGCCGCTGTTTGACCCACGAGTTTGGCCCGGCTTTGAGCGGTTCAACCAGGTGGGGCGGGTGGCTGGTGCGGTGGGGTCGGGTGGAGTGGCGTGGAAAGGGCGGGATGTGGTTGGAGTGGCAGTGGAGTGGCGTGGGGTGGCTTGGGGTGTGATTGGGCTAGGACAGATTCTTCAATGCTTTCTAGGCGCGGGAAGAGGCGAGGCAGGGGGGAGGGGGGAGGGGTGGGGTGGGGTGGGGGGTATATCATGTCCATGAAGGAATCAGGATGCTTGGACGAGTGAGGACGGGCGACAAGCGGATCAAGCAGGCGATGCTTGGAACATCGCCATCCGTTCTGCCATGTGTGTGTTCATGCCCTTTGATTTATCGATCCAAGAGGCATCGTGGGTCGGTCTGCTTCGCGATTATGACTTTCGCGCGTCTGCACTTCCCTCTGGGTCCGATTTTTGAGGCTGTTAGATTGTCCGCTTTTGAGTCGACTCAAAAACAGACGCATGTTGAGTCGACTCAGAAGCAGACGCATGTTGTGTCCACTAGCAGGCTGTAGGGTGCCTTGGAAGATCCATTGGCACACATGTGCTCATCTCCCCCTTTCCCCACTCCTGCCAGACCAGAGTCAGCTGCTGATTCACGAGATGCTGGCGAACCACGAGGCACGCCTGTGACATTGGCTTCTGTATCGAGGGACGACTGCGCTCATACCTCCCCTTGCGCATCCCGCTCCCCCCTCCCCCACGGTAAGGTGCAAGGCCTGCTGGACCAGAACCGGCTGTTGATTCATGAGATCAAGGCGAACCACGAGGCCCGCCTGCCGGATGGGCTCATGCGCAACGTGACGCTTATCAGAGAGCTCAACTCTAATGTCACCAAGGTGGGAATGTGTTGCTTACTAAGGTAGAGAGGTATGTGTTTCTGTTGTAAGCGTGCATTAATCATTTGAGGGTACCGGATGGGCTCATGCGCAACGTGACGCTTATCAGAGAGCTCAACTCTAATGTCACCAAGGTGAGCGCATTGTGACCTTGCTGCCATAACTCGTCTCCCTCACGAGGCGAGGCTGCCGGATGGGCTCATGCGCAATTTGACCCTGATAAGACAACTCAACTCCAACGTCACCAAGTTGAGCGCATTGTGACATTCTCTACGGTGATTCGTGTCTCTCAAGCTTTGAGACGTCTCAAACGACATTGTGCCCTTTGTTGCCGTAACTCATCTCCCGCGCGCACGGCTGCCGAATGGGCTCATGCGCAATGTGACCCCCATAAGGCAGCTCAACTCCAATGTCACCAAGGTAGACATGTTACTTACTTTACCATATTACCTATTTTACAATGGTATAAATGTGAGTAAGTGTGGATTGAACTGTATCAAATTCTGAGTATGCCAGATGGGCTCATGCGCAACGTCACCCTCATCAGAGAGCTCAGCTCCAATGTCACCAAGGTGGGGATTTGGTGCAAAGGTAGAGATTTTTCGGCCCCCAAGGTAGAAGTGGGTGTATGTGTTGAAGTGTAACATGACCCGGCTGCCAGATGGGCTCATGGGCAACTTCAGCTGAGATGCCGGATGACCCTCATCATCAGGCATCTCAACTTCAATGTCACCAGAGTAGGGATGAACTGGTAACCCGCATTGAACTGGTAACCCGCATTGAACTGGTAACCCGCATTGAACTGGTAACCCGCATTGAACTGGTAACCCGCATTGAACTGGTAACCCGCATTGAACTGGTAACCCGCATTGAACTGGTAACCCGCATTGAACTGGTAACCCGCATTGAACTGGTAACCCGCATTGAACTGGTAACCCGCATTGAACTGGTAACCCGCATTGAACTTTGCCTCGTGTGGAAGGTATAGTTTGATTGAGTAGGAACTCTTACGGCACGCCCTGATTGGTTGCTAGGGTTTAGCGAATGCTCAGTCCCTTGCCACGCTTCCATCTCTCTCCCCTCCGCAATGCACCATAGGCTGTACGCTGAGATATTTCGCACATTGTAGTCTCTTTTGAGATTCCAATACAAATGTGAACGCACTGTGCAAATGTGAAGGCACTGTGCAAATGTGAAGGCACTGTGCAAATGTGAAGGCACTGTGCAAATGTGAACGCACTGTGCAAAATTTTAGTCGCTTTTGTATAGGCTGGCTGATATCAGAGTCTCTTGTCAAAAGTGACTGCAGTATGAGCTAGGACCTCCGGCAGATCTACAGTAGCTCGTCGTGAGTGCGTTTTCGAAATGTCTTCCCCTCACACTCTGCACCCCTCCCCCAATATTCGTCCTGCAGGTGGTGGACATTCGTCCTCCCTCCATATACACTGACATCTCTCGCACATTCCCGCGCACCTTTGGCATATCCACTGCTGCTCCTCATGAGTGCTTTCTCGCATATCACTTCCCTTCTCGCTCCACCTGCTGCTCTGCCTTCTCCCTCCATGCCCCGTCTGCAGGTGGTAGATCTTCACGCTCACATCTCCCGCACATTCATGCACACCTCTGCCAGCTCTGCTGTGCGCTCACTTACCCATCCGTCCCCCTCCCCCTCCTCTGTCTCTTGCGCTCTGCCTTCCCCCCCCTCTTGTGGACCCCCTGCAGGTGGGGTATCTCTACGCTGACATCCCCTGCACATTCGTGCGCACCCTTGGCAGCGTAACTGCTCCTCATGTGCTCTCACTTATAGCTTCGTTCCCCCTTTCCCCCCTCTGTCCTACCGCTCTGATTCTTCGCCCCCCACCTTCCCCCCCTCCCTCCCCCCCTCCCCCCCCCCCCGTGCCTCTTCTGCAGGTGGTCGACCTGTACGCTGACATCTCCCGCACCTTCGTGCGCATCTTTGGCAGCTCTGCAGCTGCCCGCGCCTCTCCTGGCGCTGCTGGGGGGGATGCTGCTGCTGCCGGGGCTGTGGGGGCCGACAGTGATGGCTAGGTGGAGGGGTGGGTGTACGTGTGGTTTGTGGCACTGCCCCTGCTGACGCTGCTGCTGAGGCAGATGCCTCTGCTGCTGGTGGGGCTGTGGGGTCCGACAGTGACGGCTAGGTGGAGGGTTAGACGTGCAAGTAGCTGTGGTTGTGTCTCGCTCTTGGACCTTTGGCAGCTCTGCTGCAGCCGCCCCCCCTGCTGGCGCTGCTGGGGGGCCTGCAGGTGCTGACAGTGATGGCCAGGTGGAGGGGTAGACGTGCATGTGGTGATGTCACTGCTGCTGCTGGGGGGGATGCTGCTGCTGGGGGGGATGCTGCTGCTGGGGGGGATGCTGCTGCTGGGATTGATGCTGCTGCTGGGGGGACGCAGGCGCTGACAGTGACAGCTAGGCGGAGGGGTAGACGTGTGGTGATGTGACGGCTAGTTGTCCCATTCCTCACGACCTTCTGCAGCTCCACTGCAGTCCGTCCCTCTGCTGCCGCTGCTGCTGCTGCTGCTGCTGCTGCTGCTGCTGCTGCTGCTGCTGCTGCTGCTGCTGCTGCTGCTGCTGCTGCTGCTGCTGCTGCTGCTGCTGCTGCTGCTGCTGCTGCTGCTGCTGCTGCCACTGCTGCTGCTGCTGCTGCTGCTGCTGCTGCTGCTGCTGCTGCTGTTGATGCTGGAAGGGCTGCAGGCGGCAGCAGTGACGTGAGACGGCTAGCAGGACCTGTAGACGTGCTTGTGACTAGGTCATGCCTCGGCCTTTCTTTATTGGCTCAACCACGGCCCACTATTGAAGTCACATTTGGGGATTCTCTAAAACAGTTCAACCTCGACCCTCTCCCCCCTTGCTGCTGCTGTTGGGGGGCCAAAGACGGCTAGTTGGAGGCGCAGCGCTACATGTGGCTGTGTCTCTCTGGGATATGGCTCAGGACCTTTATGAGCTCTGCTGCAACCTGCCCCTCTGCCGTCGCTCTTGCTGGAGGAGTGCAGGTTCCATCAGTGACGGCTAGTTGCAGGGTGGACGTGCATGTAACCTTTGGTAGCTCTACCGCAGGCCCCCCCCTGCTGCTGCTGGGGCGGATGCTGCTGCTGCTGCTGCTGCTGCTGCTGCTGCTGCTGCTGCTGCTGCTGCTGCTGCTGCTGGGGGAGTGCAGGTTCCAATAGTGACGGCTGGTTGCAGGGGAGATGCGCATGTAGCTGTGTCTCTCAGACGTATCTCAGGACCTTTAGGAGCTCTGCTGCAGCCTGCTCCTCTGGTACTGATGTGCCTGGCGTTGCTGTTAAAGTGCGCGGCTCCCATTGGTTAGGGGGTGAGGTGCTGCTGCTAGAGTAAGCGGTTGCCGCAGGTGAGGGGTTGAGATGGTGCTGTGTTGACCGGATGGTGAACAGCATTGGTTGGGTGGAGTCGCGGGTAGACTTGGGGCGGAGAGAAGGGGCACTGATTGGCCTGTAAGGCATGGCACAGCACAGCTTGTCAACTCGGGATCATGTAGTAATTCTGTGTGTAGCAGTTTTCAGGCAGAATGCAGTTACCTGGTGCTTTTGTGAGTTGTGTGATTGATTGAAGGGGAGGGGAGGTGAGAAATAAGCACCCTTGGCCATGCCTGCCTGAGGAGCATATTGTATGGTCTTTCTTTTAGTTCCTTTGATAATGGAGCTAGTTTGCAGTACATTTATCATGCAATCTGTCCTGATACAATGAAAGTATATATTCCGTTTTTTGTCGGACTAATACGGACTGTATTGAACCCTGTTATAGAGAACCATCGCTTGATTTGTTACACCCAAACGAGTCACTTGTAAATGCAGTACACGGAATTTAGTGTGGCAGCCAGACCCGAAACCCCGTACCCTCTCCCCTACTTCCTCATCCTCACTCCCCTTCCCTCCATTTCCGAAGCAGCGCTTTATCAAAACGTGCTGCAGTTCAAAGCGCGCCTCCGATCCCGTCGCGCGGTGACACGTCCCGTTGCCTATCCGCCGTTTTCGTCGTTCACTTATCACTTTAATTATTCTGGCTGGTCGCAATAGTCGTCTTAGGTTATCGCAGAAATAGTAGTTAAAGTACACGATGGTGTGGTTCCAGTGCGAGGACTGCGGGGAGACGCTTAAGAAGCCCAAGCTTAACGCACACTTCGGACGATGCTCCGCTTACAAGGTCTGCGTCGCGCCTTATAAGGTGTATATAAACGGCCATGTAGTACGATGTAAGCGGATATCCTTGAATCGCGCCCTTGACGCCCTTTCTCGTAGCTTTCGGCTCTCTGAATCTCGCGTCGCGTGTCACTCTCGCGTTCCGTTCTTTTGTAATTACCCCTTCTTCATCTTCCCCCTCCGCCCTCTCCATCTATCCCACCCCCGCACCCTCAACCAATCCCCCTCCTTCCCCCTCCCCTCTTTCCCCATTCCCCATCCCCCCCTCCCCTCCCCCCCCTCCTCCCCCTATTCCCCCCCTCCCCCATCCTCCCCTGCTATCAGCTGGCGTGCATTGATTGCGGCGTGACGTTTGATCAGCGCTCGGTACAGTCACACACGACGTGTATGACCGAAATGGTACAGTAATCACGCCATTATAGTCACAGACGAGAAAACTCAGTTTTTTTTTTTTTTTGGGTGATTAAAACCAATAACTGAAATCATACAGTACGTACTGCTCACTCTTTCCCTTCCATCCCTCCCCTCTTCCGCACTCACCGCCAAACCCTATCCCCCATCCTCCCCTTCCTCCCTCTCTCGTCCACACTCGCCCCGCTCTCACACTGCTAACCCAGCGAACCCCAAGGGTGGGGATGGGGGGAGTGGGGGAGGTAGCTGGCAGGGGGATGGGGAGGGGCTGCTACGGCTGATGTATCCGTGCCCTAAACCCCACTCTCTCCTTCCCCCGCTTCCCTCTCTCCCCCCCCCCCCCCCCCTCCCCCCCCCCCTACCCCTCTTCCCCCACCAGGAGAAGTTCGGGCCCAAGGGGGCCAACGCAGCGAACCCCAGTGCAGGGGGAAGGTCACCAGCAGGGGGAAGCCATTGTGGCAGCCGATCTGCTGCGACCCGCCGCCCCGCTCAGTGTACCCCACTCCCCCCCCTCCCCCTCCCCCCCCCACCTTCCCCCTCCTCCCCCTCTCCCTTTGCCGCTAACAGGAGAAGTTCGGGCCCCCATGGGTACCGAAGCAGCGAACCCCAAAGGCTGGTGAAGGTGGCAATAGCAAGCTCCTTGCTTAGTCCTGTCCCTGCACTCTTCTACCCGCGCTCCCCCTCTCCCTCCCACCAGGAGAAGTTCGGGCCCAAGGGACCCAATGCAGTGAACCCAAACCCTAAGGGGGGGAGGGCTGCTCAAGGATGAAAAATACGGTTACCGTATTAAACGGTCCGTTTAAAACGGTTGTATTATACGGCAGTTTTTGGTAAAATACGGCGTTTTTTTGATAAGACTTTTTTTTTGCATTATTTTATTTTTTCAATGCTGAAATGCCTGAACTGCCTACTACATGCTAATGCTGGAAATAGAGCTAGCTACTTGTACACCACTACTACTCTACTACTACACAACATCACCCCTCTCCCTCTTTGAGCTATCCACTACAACTTACACTTACCCACTACTTCTCACCTCCGTTGCCTCTCTCTCTCCTACGTTGAACATCACCCCCCTCCTCTACTCATCATCCTCCTCCTCCTCCTCCTCCTCCTCCTCCTCCTCCTCCTCCTCCTCCTCCACCTCCTCCTCCTCCTCCTCCTCCTCCTCCTCTTCCTCCGTTGGGGAAAAATGTGAAATTCGATAAACACTGTCTCGCTTTCAAAATTTCGGTCGTTTAAAACGACCGTATTTTTAAACTTAATAATAAAACACATTTTTACCGTATTTAACCGTATAATACGACCGTTTAAAACGATTCCGTATAATACGGTAAAAAATCAATAATTCGGTCGTTTTTTTGATCCTTGGGGCTGCTATAGCATCGCTGCTTCAATATCACTCTCCTCCTCCCCCCCCTCCCTTCCGACTCCCTTCCCTCCCACCAGGAGAAGTTCGGGCCCAAGGGACCCAATGCCGCGAACCCAAACGGGGGGGGGAGGCTGCTATGGCAGCATCGCTGCTTCAATATCACTCTCTCCCCCTTCCCACCCCAATCTCTCTCCTCCTCTCCCCCCTCCCTTCCGCCTCCCTTCCCCCCCACCAGGAGAAGTTCGGCCCCAAGGGACCCAATGCCGCGAACCCAAACGGGGGGGGGAGGCCGCCGGCAGGCGGGGGGAAAGGGAAGGGCGGGGGGTCAGCGGCGGGGGGAGATGATGGGTTTGACTACCACATGGGGCTGTCGACCCGCCCCCCCTGGTATTGCAGGTATGTGTGGTGCTCTGCTCTGCTCTGCTCTGCTCTGCTCTGCTCTCCAGGGAGGGATACACATCTCGTGCATTGCGGCTAGTGCTCCCTTGGGGGAGATAGGGGAAGAGCAGCAGGAGGGGCAGCAGCGGAGGGGGATGACAGGATTGACTATCACATGGGGCTGTCAACCCGACCCCCCATGGTATTGCAGGTATGTGTGGTGCTGTGCAGACCATACCCCATGGGTGCACTGCAGATGTGCTGCTCTCCTCCAGGGAAAGCACATGGCATGCATTGCAGCAACGGCAAGTGCTCCCTTGCGAGAGAAAGGGAGGGGCAGTAGGAGGGGCAGCAGCAGTTGAGGTCGATGGATCTGACTAGACTACCACATGGGGCTGTCAACGGGACCCACTTGTCATGCAGGTAAGGTGCGCTGTAAGGGAATCAAATGACACAACACAACATGCCGGTTGAAAGCCTTTCAAAGGGGAAGAGGTGCTGCAGGCAGCAAAGCCACCTAATCGTTTTCTCCTGGTTGTGTCACTCCGCCTCTGCCCATTTTGCCCTTCTTCCTCCCGTTCATTGAATCCTGTGCAAGATGAACGCTACTGGCAAGGAGATCTTAGAGAGCCACTCAGAGGGGAAGAAGCACCGCCGGAAAATCGACCCAGCCTTTCCTTTCCCCTGCGTACGTAACCCCTACCCGCTCCCTTCCCCTCACTTTTAGTCTGTGCAAGGTGAGCGCCACAAGCAAGGAGACGCTGGAGAGCCATTCAGAGGGGAAGAAGCACCGCGGGAAAGTGAGGGGGGCAACAAGAGCTGCTCTTGAGGCTGCCAAGGGTCAGCAGGATGCATCTAGGGCCGCTGAAGAGGCTGGAAACGGTGCAGTAGTTGACAGTGCGGTGCAGAGTGGTGCGGATGGTGCTGCCAGTGGGAAGGCGAATGGGGCTTCTCCTGTTGCAGCGAATGGGGCAGCGACAGGCGGACAAGAGAATGGGGCAAAGGAGGAGGGGAAGAGTGGTGGGGAGGAGGAGGGAGAGGGAGGAGCAGAGGTGCAGGGAGGGGAGGAGGGGAAAAAGAGGAAGAAGGGAGAGAAGGGAGATAAGGGAACAAAGAGGAAAAAACGGACAGAAGGGGGAGACAAGGAGGAAACTGCTAGGAAGGAGGAAGAGCAGGAAGCAGTTGAGGCAAGGAGCAAGACAAAGAAGATGAAGAAGAAGAAAGAGAAAGGCGAGGCTGATGCAGAGCCTCCTGAAGGAGGTGCTGGGATCCCATGGAAGAAGCTCATTCGGCAGCAGCTCAAGGCGGTGAGTGCAGTGTGGTGTGGTGCAGTGTGGTGTGGTGCAGTGTGGTGTGGTACATGCACCCTGTTGCCAAAACGTTGGTGCGGAGTCACTGGAGGGAGGTATGTGCTGGGATCCCGTGGAGGAAGTTCATTTGGCAGCAACTCAAGGCAGTGAGTGCAGTGTGGTGCGATATGCTGTTACCCGTTGCAAATGGTGGAAAGGTGCAGAGTTGGTGAGGTGGAGAGGTGCAGAGGTGCAGAGGTGCAGAGGTGCAGAGGTGAGGTGGAGAGGTGCAGAGGTGCAGAGGTGAGGTGGAGAGGTGCAGAGGTGCAGAGGTGCAGAGGTGAGGTGGAGAGGTGCAGAGGTGCAGAGGTGCAGAGGTGAGGTGGAGAGGTGGAGAGGTGCAGAGGTGCAGAGGTGAGGTGGAGAGGTGGAGAGGTGCAGAGGTGCAGAGGTGAGGTGGAGAGGTGGAGAGGTGCAGAGCAGAGGTGCAGAGGTGCAGAGGTGAGGTGGAGAGGTGGAGAGGTGGAGAGGTGGAGAGGTGGAGAGGTGGAGAGGTGGAGAGGTGCAGAGGTGCAGAGGTGAGGTGGAGAGGTGGAGAGGTGCAGAGGTGCAGAGGTGCAGAGGTGCAGAGGTGAGGTGGAGAGGTGGAGAGGTGGAGAGGTGGAGAGGTGGAGAGGTGCAGAGGTGCAGAGGTGAGGTGCAGAGGTGCAGAGGTGCAGAGGTGGATATCTGTTTCCTGTAATGCTTTCTACTCTTCAAATTCCCGAAGTGTCACGACTTGGGGGTGTGTGCCACGTGTTAACTGGCCGTGACACAACGTGCTACTTCAATCATGATCTGCAGAAATGGATATATGTTTCCTGTAATGCTTTCTTCCCCCATGAACTCGTTGTTTTGGCTGTGCTGTGCGTTCTGAGGGGCCTCAAAACTCGCTCATGCCACGCAGTCTGTATATAATCTGCTGGGATTTATTGCTTTGGTTGTGCTTTTTGTTGTCGAGTTGATGTGCTCTCGAACGTCTGTTCTCTCCTATCAGGCACCCAGCCACGAGCTGCCACTCAAGGCGCTGAGGAAGCAGGTGCTGGCAGCAGCCAAGGGCGTGCTGGCAGAGCAAAGCGCAAAGGAAAGCACCAAGCACCAGGGTGCAGGCAAGGGAAGGGAGAGCTGCCGCAAGAAGGAGCTGCTGGCTGCTTTTCAACGCTCTGTGAGCTCTCTGCTCTCTCGCCCCCCCCCCCCCCCCCCCCCCCCCCCCCCCTCTCTCTCTCTCTCTCTCTCTCTCTCTCTCTCTCTCTCTCTCTCCCTCTCTCTCTCCCTCTCTCCCCCTCTTGACCTCTTCACACTCATGTTCCCATGCTTCCTCTCTCTTGACCTCTACACACTCATTCTCCCTCTCTTGACCTTTCCACACTCATTCTCCCTCTCTTGACCTCTAACACTCAGTCTCATCTCTCTTCACCTCTCTGCACTCATTCTCTATGGTGCAGCTGGAGAAGTGCAAGGCTGTCATTGTTGAAGATGTTACAGTGAAGCTCAATGTTGAATAAGATAAGGATTCTGTTGCTGCCGCATGTAAAACATACACACAGGATAAATGAAAGAAGGCGTGCTTGATTACCTTCAACTACCTCTCCTATATTCCATGTCTGGTTACAGATTGTGCTTACCTTCTTTGGTTATATTGTGCCTGCATGTATCCACAAGCACGATTGAAGTGATTGAGTAGGATCGTATACTTAGGATGGTAGCTTCCTGTCGTAGCGGAAATCTTGTATGAGTTAAAGCCAGTGAAAAGGGCTTTGTCTGAGCTTAATAAGCAAAGCTCATGTAGTGATACCGTATCGCCCCGGATATAACCGCAGGCCTATGTTAAGCGCATGCGCTTCTATCTGGAGCAATGCGCTTATGGCCGATCCTCAATTAGAAGCGCACCCTCTAAAAAAACCTTACTTATTATAAGCGCACCCTTGCTGTATAGACAAGAATGTCTGTTGTTTTTTTCACTTTCTTTACAACCTTCGTACAAATTACATTACTCTAGCTAAAAATTTCAACTAAAACTTTCAAGTCAAATACATTAGACTAGCATCCTAGCCTACACAACATTTTTAAGTTTAGTCTAGCCTAAGGCCTACTCCTCGTCCGACTCAGGCTCCGTGGAGTTGTTGCCAAAGAACCCGTCTGCTTGGATGTCGTCATCAACCTCTACCTCGTGGGATAGCTGACCTCTCCGGTGCGCCAGCACCAGTCCGTCTTCACTCCCGTCAAGGGCATTGCTGATGCCGCAGGTGAGGAACGCTCTCTTAATCAGGTCGGCGGGCACAGCTTTCCACGCCCGTGAAATCCACTTGAGCACCACCTCCGGAGATGGTTTCTTAATGTTCCCTGCACCACATACACGGGGGTGGGAAACACGTGGGTCCACAAGTAGGCAGACATACAGACGAAGCGGTCACGGGAGAACACTTTTGCGTACCTGCGGGTGTCAGGATGTTCATGCCGTCCTGCTCGAACCAGGTCTGGTACTGCTGCCGAACACTCGCCTTGAAGCTTTTGTTGACCGACACATCGAGCGGCTGCAAGTCTGCCGTGCATCCCGCTGGGATGACCGCCGGCACGATGTTGAGTTCCGCGAACTTCGCCTTGACTTCGGGTGTCAGGTGTCCACCATAGGAGTCGAGCACTAGCATGGCGCTCCGGCTCTGCAATCCGAACTTCGGTTTCAGGAATGGCACCACGCCTGCACCGAGCCACTCGATTACGCCCGAGGCCTCCATCCACCCGTTAGCTTGGCAACCGACCACGACATCTGCATACAAGCAAGCGGTGATTAGATTTTACTTTTGTTTTTCCCCTCGGAAACACGCGCATACGCAGTTTCTTACCGTTCGGAAAGTCACCCTTTGGGAGGGTCTTGCGCTTGAAAAACACCCACGGCTTCAACTTCTCGCCCGTCGCCGTGCACGCCAGCATCACAGTGACTCTCTCTTTCTGGTAACCACCACTGCGGATGGGCACCGACTTCACGCCCGTCTGCTCCACCGTGGTAGTCGCCGGCATCTCCAGCCACAAAGGCGTCTGGTCGGCATTGATGATGTAACGATTGTCGATGTCGTAGTCGTGGCGTGCGTCGCGGACAAACTGCCAAAATTCCTTGCACTGCTTGGCCACGTCTGCGCACGGGGAGGGAGGAACGGTTACAAGGGCGGATGAGCACCGCTACAGATAAACAAACATGGGCAAGAAAGTACTGAAATACAAGATAAAATTTCACGATAGGATGACAGTGCACGGACAGGCACTTACGCTGCTGTGTCTTTTGCGCCACCTTTGTTTTCATGCGCACGGTGAGATTCCACCGCTTGCGGTGTAACGAGCCACTTCAGTTTCTCCTGGGCGGTGTAGCGCTGCCGTTTGTGTTGAGTCGGCTTGTGCCTGGGAGAGGGGGGGCGGGCATCTCGGTTCTCAGAGGAGGGGTGGGGTCGTTTTTTGTTAATCGACGGATACGTTGGTATCGGCATCTTCTCGCGTGGTGCGTCGCGCCACCAAGACTCCACACCGTCGTCGTCCGCGTCTGTAGCTTCACGATCTGGGAACACGTCCTCCTCGGCGCCCTCTTCACCGTCGACTCCACCGTTGCCTCCAGCATCGCCGTCGCATGTGGGTTGTTTATCGGCGGCCACGTGATCGTCGGCGCCCACAGCCGACTCGTCCCACGTGCAGGCTTCAGGATTTCCCCACCGAGGTGCAGTCGGCGGACCATTGATTTGCCTAGCCTTGGGTGTGTCCGGTTCAGACAACCACTCGTCGAAAGTGGCAGGCAAATATAACTGGAGCACGGGCCGATGGTGACCCCACGCGTCAGGAACAGGAGGAGTCGGAGGATTCGGAGGAGCGGGAGGAGCAGGAGGAGCAGGAGGTGCAGGAGGAGCAGGCGGAGCAGGCGGTGCAGGGGGTGTAGGTGGCACTGGAGGCGCTGGTGGCTCACGTGTATACCACCCGTCCGAGGTTAGTCGCCAGGCGCGGGTTGGTTTCTTCTTGAAAAGGAGGTGCGTCCCACTGAATTCCGCCATGGCTTTGCCAGCCAGGCGGGCTAGACTAGAAACTGAATGAAAAAAATGAGGAGGAGGGTGCAGAAATGTGCAACGACGGGGACCCCTGCGGGCTAGCGGCTCGGGGTCCTCGTCAATGACAGGCAGGAAACCCCCGCCTACCCCCGTAGAGGAACCTGCGTGGCAGCATATTCGCTGCGCTGGCAGGGAATCTTCCCCACCCTTCGAGAGGGTTCGGAAGAAATGCAGATGCCACGCAGCGCATGCGGCTGTTGTCGTCTAGCCGATACATCCCGGGATCATGCGGCAGTTGTCGGAACCCAACTTCTATAAGTTTCCTGTTCAAATGCTGCTGCCACAGTCGCGGTGCTTGTTTGATACCGTACAGTGACTTCTTGAGCTTGCAGACACTTGGCGGATTTGTCGGATAGGTGTGCGGATATTCGACATAGATTTCAGCATCGATGTCAACGTATAGAAACGCGTTGGAAACATCAATTTGTCGAAGCGGAAAATTCTTCGCAGCTGCTTCGCAGATGACGAGACGAACACTTGTGTGTCGGCTGACCGGGGCAAAAGTTAGCGTGTAGTCGACCCCATGAGTTTGGTCAAAACCGCGAACAACCCACCTTGCCTTATGTTTTTCGTAAGAGCCATGAGCTTTCGTTTTCACACTGAAGACCCACTTTCCGGTAAGAATATTTTTATTTACGGCTTTCTCGATGGGTATGAGCTCCCAAGTCTCCCGTTTTTCCAGGGCAGCCAATTCACGATCCATAGCTTCACGCCATTTTTCACGATGTGGTCCTGAAAGAGCCTGTCGGGCAGTTTTTGATTCTGCGACTTCTGTAGAATTGTGCTGTACAGCTGCTGCGAGTCCCAGTATCTGAAGCCCAGTTTGATATTTAGGACTGTCTTCGGTCCGACCTGCGAAATTGACAGGTTCACTCTGTTCACCACTTGCCCCCCCAATTTCGTCAGGATTGACGCGGATGCTGCTGTCAGTTACAGCTAGCATGGGACGTCGTTGGTCGTCCACCAGGTAAGTATGATGAACAGCACGAACGTCCTCTGGATTAGCGTCGACGAGAGGAATGAATTCCGGAAATCTGGAAGAAGTGGTTGGTATAGGTGGATCGGGAGCAGCTTCACGTGCATCATTGAGGTCAGGTTCTTCGCTGGCAGCGAGTTCGACGTCGGTGGTAGCGAATGAACGAACACAGTGGAAAAGAGTAGCAGGGTCACGCTGCGTGGCAAGATATTGTTCGAAAGTATGAAGGGTAAGATTTTCATAGAAAATACAGTCACGGGCAGGAACCAGAAGGCGACTGCGATAATCCATGATGCGCCAGGCAGAAAACTCTTTCTCGAGGCCGAGATGAAGACCCCACTTAGCACGTTGATCAAACTTTCCGAGCGGAGCAGTAGGAGGATTGTATTGCACAACACACCCGAAAACTCGAAGAAGTTTTGTAGTGCCCAATTTTCCTGTCCACAACAAGTGAGGTGATGCATTGTTGGGTAGAGCTGATGAAGACAGAAGATTATGCAACAGCGTTGCATGGGCCATCGCGAAGGGCCAGTAGAGCGGGCCGAGCTGAGACTGGGCGAGCAGAGCTCGCATCTTTTCTTGCAAAGTTCGATTGAGGCGTTCTGCTACACCACTCTGTTGGTGAGCGTGAGGAAGTGAGAATAGGCGCCGTATGCCTCTCTCTTGCAGGTACGTTGTAAACTTGAGACTCCGATATTCCCCGGCTCCATCACACTGGAAGGATATTCCCCGGCTCCATCACACTGGAAGGACTTTAGTTTGGTGTTGGACTCACGTTCTGCGAGAGGTAGCCATGTTCGAAACACTGTGAAGGCAAGAAAACGGTTAGTCATGTTACTAGTCCAGACGTATCGAGTAGAAGCTTCAGTGAACGTGATGACGTATTTCTCGCCATTGAAACCCTCCGCAGGTAAGTTTAGAATATCGCTGTAAACTTTTTCTATCAAGCGATAATCCTCAGCGCCAGGAAAATGAGACGGGTACGGTTCATGCGGTAGATTTGCTGCTGGGCAGATTAAGCAGGGTTATGGACGATTGACCGGTTTCATTTCGAGGCCGCCAGGTAAGAGAAGCGAATTCTTGTCGAGAACAGCAGCTTTGATTGTGTTGTTGAGCGTAGACTGCGACGGATGACCAAGACGCTTATGCCATGTGTCTGCAGTAGCTTTGTGTCCTTGTGCGCGCAGATAATGATCGGCGTTAGCGAAGAAAGACAACAGCAGCCGATGACCGTCAGCGCAAACATGATCTGTGATAGGCGGGATGAACCTGGTAAGGTTAGGTGGTGGAATTTATATTTCAACGTCGATTTATTCGCCAGGTGAAAGAACTAACTCCTTGCTTTCTTGATCTGATGCTGCAGGTTTAGGCTCAACGCCGACAAGTCGTCCGGAGTCGAGGACTTCCATGTCAGTGACACGCTGCTAGGCTTCAGTGAGAAGAC